TATACACTACCTTCAAATTTTGAAGGTGTTCATTAGAATAGTATTTACAGCTACTATTCCCTCTTCGGTGACAATGAAGTATGCATGTATTTTTTTTCCACTTAAATATTGTGCTATTTGAAAATGATTCTGTAGTTTGGCTTTTAGTATTAGCAAATCAGAACTTTATCAGCTCTTCTGTCTAGGCAGCAACCTCTTTGATGTTGACGCTGTGTGTATAATTCATGGCTTACTCTCCCAGATTCCATATCTTACTGCCAGTATGCATTGTCCTTTTCACTCTAGCCAGATCATAGATAAATGTTTGCCAAAAAATAGATGCCAGCCAGTCTTTACTGGGTGCTTGTTAACATTCAGCATATAGTGTTAGCTACTGTGAAGTCTCTCTCCTCAAAGGCACTTACTGTCTCCTTTGAGATACAATTAATGCCTTCTGTATGAAAATAGTATAGACAATACAAGAAATTGTGTTATGAATTACAGAAAGTATGCTATAGAAATTCAGAGAAGTGGGACTTCCCTAGTGATCCAGTGGCTCAGTCTCTGTCCTCCCAGTGCAAGGGGCCCAGGTTTGAACCCTGGTCAGGGAACTAGATCCCACATGCTACAGCTAAGTTCACATGCCACAACTAAAGGGTTCACATGCCACAATTGAAAGTCCTTGCATGCCACAACTAAAGATCCTGCCTGCTTTAACTAAGGCCCAGCTCAGCCAAATAAATAAATAAATAAATAAAAATATTAAAAGAATTTCAGAGAAGGGAGGAAAAGTTAGAGTGGGTTTAGGGCTTGAATTAGGCTATTTTTAAAGGGTATGGTTCAGGCAGTTTATTTTTAATGTGCAGATAATCTGGCATTTTACTTGATTTTAGCATGTGATTAATATTTGTGGGGTTTGTGTACTTATTTGTTTTTCAAGAAAAAGCCTTGTTCTTAGCTTCTGATTTCTTGTGATTCATGTTTTACCTAAGTCATAAATAAAGGCGATGCTCTGAAAAATAAAATAAACTACTTAAAAAGTTTTTGAGTGACTAGTGCTAGTTGCTTGTCATTACTGTGCTGAACTTCTATTGTACTGACTGAACATGACCATCCTGAGGGAGACATATTATGGAAAGAAAATATTTTTGAAATGAGTATTAGCGATTTACATCACCTTATGAGTAAGCCAAATATCAATACTTACATGGCCTCTTTTTTTTTCCTACCCACACTTCTCAAAGTAGCAGCTTCTAATCAGGTAATTTTTTATTACCTCTCAAAATTATAGAATATGAAAAAAATTCAGAGGCCATTTAATTTTATGGATGATTTCTGTAGGTAAACAGCTTTTGAGTATAATCTTGAGTAATCTTTAATGTTTGAGTACAATATTATCACTACTGTACCCTAGATAAAGACATTTTCTGTATTTTTTTTTTTTTTTTTTTGCAATTCAACTCTTGTAGTCTGTGAATACGTTGTTTCACATTCAGTAAAGAGAACATAATATGTAGAAGAAAACACTGGGTTTATTCTTGTTCCTGCTTAATTAACTGGACAGATAGTTTCATTTGGAGAATTATCTTTTGTCTGCAACATAATAGAGTTGGACCATATGAAAGTTTTCCCAACTGGAATAAACTAGTTTCCACTTCTCTCAAGTTTTGTGGTTCCTTATATCTTTTCACTACCAATACATGCTTACTATAAAACTTCCTCAGTAAAATAAAGAGGGGACTATAGTTTTCCTGTTGACCTTGCATTGAGAGGTCTAATATTTTTTTTTCCAGGACATAAAAGAGGCAAGTGAATGGCAAGTGACTTCTAGATCAATGCAGTTACACTGTAAGTTTACTGGTGGATCTCTGTACTGTTTGGAGCCTTAGACTAAATTGTCTTTAAGGTTACTTCTGACTGTGGTTCTAACATGTATCTAAAAGACGTGGCTTCCCTGATAGCTCCGTTGGTAAAGAATCTGCCTGCAGTGCAGGAGACCCCAGTTCGATTCCTGGGTCAGGAAGATCCGCTGGAGAAGGGATAGGCTACCCACTCCAGTATTCTTGGGCTTCCCTGTGGCTCAGCTGGTAAAGAATCTGCCTGCAATGCGGGAGACCTGGATTCGATCCCTGGGTTGGAAAGATCCTTTGGAGAAGGGAAAGGCTACCCTACCCACTCCAGTATTCTGGCTTAGAGAATTCCATGGACTATATAGTCCATGGGGTTGCAAAGAGTCAGACATGACTGAGTGACTTATACTTTCACTTTTTCACTGACTGTGGTTCTAATGTGTCTAAAAGATGTGACATTATTGAGCAGACATGAATTACAAGATCAGAAATAACCTATTCATGCCAGTAATTTTAAGTCTACATTTTTGTTAGGTACTGGATTCTTGAGACCCCTCCACCCCCCAACCCCCCATTGTTAAAGACCAGCTGTATTAGCTGAAGGAGAATTCTTAAATTTGTCATGCTGACACTTTCCCAGTGCTTATCTACTTTTTTTTTGTCCTTTGAAAAAGATGCTATATTTGTTCTCTCTATAATAGCATTTATGCTATCTAATTTGGAGAATTTGAAAGACATGCACAATTGTTTACTCTTAATATTAGATGAGTGATGTTCTCCCTCTTCAAGAGAAGGTTTTTGGTTTTAGCATCCTCTTTTATATCTGGAAATTATAATTGCTTCATAATATATTCATCAAAAGTGTGTTGTGAACAAAGCACCTAAAAAGGACAAAGCCTGAAAATATGTCTATGTTAAGGAGGAACTTCTAGCTTAATTAAACTAACCTTGTTAAATTGTCAGAAAGACAAATGAGGCATATTTTTCAGCTTGTCATAAATTCTTCTGGGGTGAATTTGTGAAATTACCTCATGATAAGATCTCTGTGCCCATGAATAACATCTAGAAATCTCAAAGCTTTTTATGTACTGTCCGATAGCCTTATGAATTGGGGAGAAGATGCTGTGGGAAATGGAATAGCTATTATTCCACAGTTAATAAATTTGGCAGAGCTAGAAAAATAGCCCAGTTTTCCTTCTAGTGCAATTTTATAAATGTTTGTCCCTTGGTACCTACCACTAAACTGGCTACAATTATACACAAGTACATAGAGCACTTCCTTACGACCTTGCTTTCTAGTAATTCCACCCCGTATATGTCTTTTTAGCCATTCATTCTCCACTCATCCCACCTAGTGGATTTGTAATATAGTGTGTATCACTTCAGTACCAATAGGATATATGTTTTATTAGAAGTTGCGTACAAGTCTGGTGTGGTGGTCAGTATAGTGTTTGTTCCACCCTTTGCCACCTTCCCAGGGGAAAAACACACTAGCAACCTTGGTGTATTTTTCCATTTCGTCGTTTATCACTGTGTCAACTGGACAGTTTGGTTGAGCAGCAGATTTCAGCACAACCACCAAATAGAATTTACCTGGTGTGGACTATGATATAACCCACACTGTTTTTGCTTAGATTCTGACTCTGTTCTGTGCCAAAGCCACAAAAGGGCATGTTAGAGCTGTATCCATTCACCTGTGTGCTTCAGAAGCACAGTTGTTTGCATATACCATGTTTTGCTTGGTGGATCAGACAGCAGTAAAGAATCTGCCTGTAATGCAGGAGACCGGGATTTGATCCCTGGGACAAGAATATCCCCTGGAGAAGGGAATGGCTACCCACTCCAGTATTCTTACTTGAAGAATCCCATGGATATAGGAGCCTGGCAGGCTACAGTCCATGGGGTCACAAAGAGTTGGACATGACTGAGCGACTAATACACAAGGCCAGGTTTTGGATAACTCTAGTACTTTCCATGGCAGTCTCATCTTTTAGAAATTCTCAGGATAGGAAGTATGTCTTCCTTTTCCACAAGGTATTCTACTGCATATACAAGCAAACACACACAAGATAGGTTGCCTAGTACAGAATTCTGTATTCCTCCACTTAGTTTTAGTGTTTACATCATATATAACTGGTATATTTGTCACAGCTAATGAACCTTACTATTAACTAAGGTGCATACTTTGTGCGTATTTCCTTATTTTTTATTTAGGGCTCTTTTTCTGTTCCAGAATCCCATCCAGGATACCACATTACATTTAGTTATCATGTCCCTTTGATTCCTTTAGCTGTGACAAGGACTTTTAATGGTTTGGTGACCTCGACAATTTGGAGGTGTAGAAGTCAGGTATTTTATAGTCCATGTACTTTGAAATTTACAAGACACTTATGACTGAGATTAAACGTTTTTCTTTTCATATACTTAAGGACATAGTGGAGAAGGAAATGGCAACCCACTCCAGTATTCTTGCCTGGAAAATCCCACGGAGAGGAGCCTGGCAGGGTACAGTCCAAAGTGCAAGAATTTGACACGACTCAGCAGCTAAACCACCACCGCCAAGGATATATGTGTTTTCATTTCTAGAAACTAGGAGCCCATTATCTTAACTAGTATGCTCTATCAGTCTCTTGAGTCATCTTAATTATCAATAAAAATATTCATGGGCTTGAATATATGTGGTTGTCTGATTGTCAGGAAGTACAATGTCTTGGAAGCCTCTGTTAGAGATAGAGGAGAACCATTGGTGCTAGTGATGTGGTCACTCTCTGATCTCTCTGGCTACACTGCAGAGGGTGGACCAGAGATTCGACTGGAAATAGCAAGTAGGCAGGATGTGGGATAAGAAGTCCTTGAAAGCAGAAGCAGGGTTGATAGGGACACATTCAAGGAAAATTAGAAGGGCCAAGATCTGGTGATACTGGATGAGAGAGTTAAGAAGTCAAAGGCGACTCCTAGGTTTATGAGCTGGATATTTTGGGTGTTATAGTTAACCTATACGAGAAATCCAAGAGAACTATTCGGGCAATTTACAATATACCGTTTGCTCAGTACGGGCTTTCGATTTGTAGCTCCGCAAGACTACAATTCCCAGAGCACTGCACTCCACCACAATCCCCTTCGAGTCGGCCGCGCAGAGTTCTGGGACTTGAAGTCCGCGGCCTGTTTTACCCAAGTTAGATCTAGGGGCCTGTGGAAACATGAAGAGGTAAGGGATTGTCTGAGAACAGACGGCGAAGGGCGCTCTGTTCTACCTTTTGACTTTTCAAATGGCTTTTGTTACTTTGGGTTTGGGGTATGTCACGTTCTGGGGATAGGGTTTCGTGTGAGCGGGAAGACAGAGGAGGAGGGAAAAGGGGAGACGGGCTGGACAGGCCTGTGGGGCGAAGTTCAGGAAGGGCCGCCGCCGCTGCCGGCCCCTGTAGGGATGCCCTCCTGGCACAGGCACCTAGGCAACGGCGCTGGCCCCGGGACAGATGCTCTGGCTCCTTCCTGTTTCAGACCGACCCACTCAGGTAAAAGGGTCTTGACCGATTGATGAAACCAGTCTGTGCCGTAGAAACCTGGGCCAGATCCTTCCTGTCCCGCCGGACCTCCTCTCCATCCTCAGAAATGGGCTCAGGGTGGGCGCGTTTATGTGCAGTGTTTGTGTTTATAGCGGACTTTTTCGGGCTGAGAGACCGTGTAATACTTTCAGACCTGAAAGTAAGCAAGTGATACTTTGTTTCTACAAATTTGGAAGCAAAGTACCAAACCCGTATCCATCTATTGTAAGAAAAGAAAGGCACCGCTGCGAGCAGTTCCCCCTACCGGTTCTGCAGGAAATGGCAGCTTTAACGTGGCTGATCTTTGTTGAAAGCCTGCGCTTGCAATCGATTACTGACGGTACACGAAACCTTTTTAAGGCTCCTTATCAAATTAGTTTTGTATTCATTCTGCAAGTAGAATAATCACTGGAATAGGGCGATGCATTTAAATTCTTAGAGGTACGATGTTCTCCTGCACCGTTAGTTTCTGCATCTTTTTAAAAAATGTAGTTTCTGATTTTCCCTGCTTCAAAATGCCTTTTAAAAATTGTTTATAATATCTCTCATACATGCAAAATTATGAATATAATAGAGTCGTCGTCACTGCAATAGAACATTATCAGTATCAGAAGTCTGCTTGTGTGCTCCTGAGTGTTTCTCTTCCCTCCCCAAGAGGATCACTATCCAGTATTTTGCCTTAATCATTTCTTTGCTTTTTTCTTTTTAAATAGTTTTGCCACATATGAATTTATATCTAAACAAAATGTCGCTAGTGTTATTCCATTTTCAACTCTATATAGACACATATTGTATGAATTTTTCTGGCGCTATTTTCACTCTACATTTCTTTTTGAAATTTATGTGTACTGATGTATTTAGCTATGATTTATTCATTTCAAAGCCACCTCAAATTTAGCAAGAACTTTCAGAATTCTAAATAATGAGAAAATATTAAGATACTTGAAAGGAATTTTTTTAAAACCCTGGGCCTATGTATCTTTTAAATTTTCCCAAAGTTGTTATAAGTGTTTCTAGAGTGTGGGAATTTTCCTTATAATTATGAGAGATACATCTTCTAGGTCTCATCATAACCCCAATACTAAAGGGCTAAGAGGGGTATTTAGTATTTATTTTCCTCATTGAGTTAACTCACTTTGCTTTTTTCTTTTAAAATCTGTTCTTGCACACTTAAATGGTCCTGCTATTTTTTTTATGCTCAGAGTTTTTCATTATTTAGCATTACCTAGATATCCACACAGTAGTACTTAAGCTATAAAATGTTATGATCCCCTTCACCTTTGCTTCTATACTCTCTCCTTTGGTGATCTCCTCTCTCACAACTCCAGATCCTGACAATACAGATGACTCAAGATTTCCATGCACAGCCTCAGACTCTCATCTATACAACACTTCTCTCTCTCACTTTCCTTCTAGCCAATATCACCTTCTGTCACCTCAGGCTCAGTATGTCTTTGAAGCATTCCTGATACTTAATGCTGGTATTTCAATTGTAATAGTTAGTTGACTCAACATGGCTAAAATGAGAATGACTTCCCTTTCCCAAACCATTTACTCCATCTGGAACTTCCTCTTTAGTTCATTGGTCCCATCGCTCAGTTACACAGCTTGAAATTTGGGGTTATTTTTCACTTCTTCCTTACCCCTATGTTCAAAAGGCATTTCTCATTTAAGCCTTCCTTTCCATTGTCGCTACTAGCACTCCACTTTGAACTTTCTTCACCTCACGTTTGATAAATTATATAGTTTCCTAACTAGTTCTTCTGGTTTTGTTCTTACTAATCCATAAAGCTTATTATAACCACATTCATTTTCCTAAACCATCACTTATACCATGACACTTAACTGCCTAATAAATTGCCTTCTAATACCTGTACATTAAGGTTGAGACCATTTAGTTGGTGTATTTAAGGCCGTTCACAGTCTAACTATCCCTCCAACAGGATCTCCCAAGGTTGCCATACATGTATGCCAGATAAATTTCTTATTATCCCCCAGAACATACTTCTGTCCCTTCATGCTCTCTCTCCCTATTCTTTCCTTCATCACACAGAGTCCTTCAAATGCCAGTGTAAGAATTACCTTTCCAAAGTCTTCATTTACTACCTTGCCCCCCAGTTATTTCTTCTGTGAACTCCTACTGGTTTGGTATATGCTTCTTTATATCTTTCTTCTCTTTTTTCTTTCTCTCTCCTCCTCTCTGTCACTCTCTCCCTCTCTCCTGCTCTGCCCTCACCCCCAGGCATCTGCATACAACACATCCATATATATTACTTTTCCCTAAATAAATTGCAAGCTTCTTAATGAGAGGGACTGTGTCTTGCATATCTTTGACTCCATCAGTACCCAGCAGAGTGCATTCATTGTGTATAAACAAGTACTTAGTTAATGTTTGTGGAATGAGTGATAAACGGCAACAAATAGAGAAGTATCTTTGAACAAATGGGATCCCTAATGGTAGATAATATAGCTAAAGAATATATTTTGAGATTCAGTGTCTCTCCTACTTTCCATATATATCCTTGTATCTATTCCAGGGTAAATAGCTGTGTCAAGAGTGATGAGCATGTCCTGGAGGAGCTGGAAACAGAAGGGGAGAGGCAGCTGAAAAGCCTCCTTCAGCATCAACTTGATACCTCTGTCTCCATTGAGGAGTAGGTATTGATTTTGAAAAAGAGTATCATAGACCCTCAGCTCCAGGTGACAGATACCTCTTTAAGTCTGGGTGGAAGATTCTCTCTCACCCCCCTTTCCTTGGCAGATTTCTACTGATTAGGCAGGGTTTTACTTCTGTATCTCTTCTAGGAAGCCTTCCATATCCCACTCTGTCTGGGCTGAGTACCATTCCTGTGTCTTCCTTTAACATTCATAGTACTTATAATCCAGTAGTGTTATTGCCTGCTTACTTGCCTCTCTTCTACAGCTCCTTGCGCAAAGCAGAAACTGTTGTCTTTTTTACTGTTAAATCCTCAGTACCTGGCACAGTATCTGATGCATAGTAAGTACTCAGTAAATAAATATTTGATTCAGTCATTTGTTAGTCCTGGACTACTGGTGGAATTCCATATCATTGTAGTAGTTCTTTAACCTAGAAATAGGATGTAAGAGAGAAATTGCCCCTGAGTTTCATTGTGCCTTCTAATGGCAAGCCCCATTTCTGTGCATTGTGGTAACTTGAAGATGTTCTTACTCTCTTCCTGCTTGTTTTGCAGATGTGTATCTAAGAAAGAGAGCTTTGCTCCTGGTACTATGTATAAGCCCTTTGGGAAGGAAGCAGCTGGGACTCTGACTTTGTCCCAGTTCCAGACACTGCATGAGAAGGACCAGGAGACTGCTTCTCTCAGGGAACTGGGGCTTAATGAAACAGAAATCTTGATTTGGAAGAGCCATGTTTCAGGTGAAAAGGTGAGTGGGGCAATTTTTTTTCTGGAGAATAAAATGGACAGTTTCTTCATTTGATACTGAGAACCTTTTCATTTTGCGTTCTCACAACACTGAGCTTTGTGTCTAAATCTTCTTTGGTTTTTAAGGTAAGGACGTTGGTAAAAGAGAAGCTGCTCCTTGACTTGGTTTTTTTTTTTAACAAATGGGATTTAATTTTTTAAATTTTACTTATTTTTGGCTGTACCATGTGGCTTATGGAATCTTAGTTACCCAACCAGGGATTGAACCTGTACCCTCAGTGGTAAAAGCACAGAGTCCTAACCACTGGACCACCAGGGAATCCCCGCCCCTTGACTTCCTAGCTGATGTATATATAAATGACCGTTTTGGGGCCCTGATCATTTTCTTTCGTGTTTAAGGCATCAGATTGTCACTTTCAGGGTGGGTCCTCTGTGATATATGCCGTCTCATTTCTCCAATTTCAGAGGACGAGACTTAGGGCAACCCCTGAAGCAATACAGAACCGTCTTCAAGATATTGAGGAAAGAATCTCAGAGCGTCAGCGCATCCTTTGCCTGCCACAGAGATTTGCAAAGAGCAAACAGCTGACCCGGCGAGAAATGGAAATAGAAAATTCTTTATTTCAGGGAGCTGATCGTCACTCTTTCCTCAAGGCCCTTTATTACCAAGGTATGTGATCACCACTGACTTGATACACTCTTTCACTGGCAGAAAGACTTAACATCAGGACCTTAACTATGAAGAGTTAGTGGAGGGAGTGGGGGAAAGATGAACTATCACTACTCTTGAGGAATGTATATATAGTCCCATGAGAAAGACAAATATGTACCTAGTTAGTTGCAGTACACCCTGGAAATTGCTATTGTAGAGGTGTGAATAAAATGCTGAGGGGACCTAAGACACAGAGCATCTAAGTCTAGTTGGGGGAGTCAGGAGTTTATATTTGTACTTGTACCAAGTCTTGATGGATCAACAGGCATTTGTCAGTAAATAGTGGGAAGAGGGCATTATAGATAGTAGGTGAGTAGGAACAAGATTGTGAAAGAACCTGATGTGTCTAGGGAACAGTGAAAAGTTCATTGTGGCAGGATGTGTAGGACATGGTGAGGACTGGCAGAAGATGACACTGGAAAAGGTAGGTGAGGCTAGATTGTGAAGGGTCCTGAGGTGGAACTATTAATTAGCACAAAATATACAGATAAATGTGTGTCTTAGCCAGAAAGAGTGGATTTAACAGAGAAGTTTTGCTAGGCACTGTGGAAGGTATGCAGAAGTTTAAGAAATGACTTCTTGACTTTGTGCCAGTTGGAATCTAGTTGGAGAGAGAAGTGCACAGCATTTAGTAACAAGACTAGATACAGTTGTTAAATGCTGTAGGAGTTCAGAGAAGGGAAAGGTCACTGTGCATTGATGTGACTAAAGACGGCCTCTCAGAGGAGATAAGATTTAAATATTCTTCTAACACTACCAAGTCTTCAGAAAGGAGAGGGAGGGTCATTTCACTTGTAGCAGATGTCATGAACTAAGTCATGTTTGGAGATATTGTGAGAGACAAAGTTAAAAAGATAGCTAAAATTTTTGAACTTTATTTGGCAAGTAGTATAGACCTACATGGAGTTAGTTATTCAGTTAGTCATTTTGGGTATAGTTAAGGTCTTTGAACCAGGAGTAACATGATAAAAGCAGTATCTGAACTTGATGAATCTGGCGGCCAGTAAATCAAATACATGAGCAGGAGAACTGGAAGCAGGGAAAACAGTTTAGGAGTAATCACAGTCATTTCTTCAGGAAGAGCTGCACTAGGATGATGGCAAAGAAACTGGAAAGAGAAGTAGGTATGGTTATAAGAGACATTACAAAAGAACAATTGGTAAAACTTGTTGACTGAGAATGAAGGTCAGTAGAGAGGCCTGTGTCAAAGATAACCCAGGTGTTTCGAGGCTGTGTGACTTAACAGTTGGCGAAATTAAGAAAACCTTTATGGGGAAATTTTGAGGAAAGATGATGAGTTTGATTTTAAACAGGTTAAATTTGTGAGACTGCAGGATCATCCAGTGCAGATATTGAGGAGGCTGTTGGAAATGTAGCAGTGTAGCTCCAGGGAGAGGGCAGAACTAGATTCATAGAATCAGGACTCCTCTATGCTTAGACAATAAAGTCAATAGAATGAGTGAATGGTTTGTTAGAGACAGAGAGACCATAGACATGCAAGAGCAGTGGTGAAGGAAGGAATGAAGAAACAGCTTTTGTGGAGAGACATTATAGCTTGCTGATCAAGAACATGGGCTGTGGAGACAGACTGCTGGGAACATCCTGGCTCCCCCACTTATTATCTAAAGATGTGGGGCAAGTTACAATACTGTGTTTGATTTCCTTCAAGAGAATATTAATAGTAGCTATATTGTAGGGTTGTTAGGATTAAGAGAGGTAATACATGTAAATCACTTAAAGCAGTACCTGGTATTTGGGGTGGGTGGGTAGTGTATGAATCTGTTCTGTTTCCTATCTTTGAAACTCCTTGCTTTACACCTTCACAGCATACCACAAAAAGACAAGTGCAGACAAGTACATGACCTCAATGAAGAGGAAGATAAAATTAGGCACAAAAGGCAAGTCGAGAGTTTTCTTACAGTGTTAGATTTAGGAATGTAACCTAGGGTCCCAGACTTCTAAGTTGAGTTCTTATTTAATTTCATATTCAGTATATGACAATGTTTATAGGACATGATCCACAGGGAACATATTATCCTGATACAGAATATTAAAGAGAGGGGTTAGAAGTTTAAAGCTTTAACATTTAGTGTTGTTGATTTTTTTCTCTATACCTTTTAAGTTATTGTACGAGACATAAAATGACCTTAATGTCTTTTTGATCGTATTTCATAATCCTGAATATTTTTAATCAGTAAAGTATAACTATTGATGATGATATAGTAGCTAATATTTTACTTTATTTTTGAAATGAACTTACAATAAAATTGCCTGTTTATTTGGGGGGAGGTGTATGTACAATTCTGTGAATTGTAAGTCATGTTAATCACAGAGATTCATGTAACCACCACCACAATCAGGATAGAGAACAGCTCCATCACCCTCAAACTCCTTCATACTATCCATTGAAGTCACTCCCAATTCCACCCGTAATCTCTGGCAATCAATCACTGATCTATTCTCCATCACTGTGATTTTGTCTTTTAGAGAATGTCATACAAATAGAATCATACGAAATGTAATCTTTTGAGAGTGACTTCTTTCATGCAGTGTAGTGCCTTTGAGATTCATCCAAGTTGTATGTATCAATAGTTCATTTTTGCTGAGTAGCATTCTATTGTATGAATGTTTCAAAGTTTGTCTATCCACTCACCCATTCAAGTGCATTTGGGCTGTTTCCAGGTTATGGTGATTATGAATAATACTGATATGAATATTCTTGTACAGGCTTTTGTGTGAACATAAAATTTCTATCTAGGAGTGGGATTACTGGGTCATATGGTAAGTGTTTGTTTAACTTTATAAGAAACTGCCAAACCATTTTCAAGAGTGGCTGAACCATGTTGCATTTTCACCAGCAATGTATGACAGTTCCAATTGCTCTACATCTTTGTCAGCATTTGGTATTGTTGGTATTTATTTTAGTTATTCTAATAGCTGTGAAGTGGTATCTCATTGTAGTTTTAATTTGCATTTCCTTAATGGCTAATGATATTAAACATCTTTTCATATGCTTATGTGCCATCCTTATATCCTATTTGCTGAAGTGTCTGTTCAAATCTTTTGCTGTTTTTCATTGAGTTGTTTATTTTTTCCTGTTGACTTTTGAGAGTTCTTTATATAGTCAAAACACAATTCTCTGTTGGATATATGATTTACAAATATTTTATCCCAGTGTGCAGCTTGTCTTTTCATTCTCTTAACAGTGTCTTCTGCAGAGCAAGCTCTCTTTTATTGTGGTAAAATATACCTAACATAAAATTGACCATTCTAACTATTTTTTAAGTGTACAGTTCTGTGGCATTAAGTATATTCACATTGTTCAGCCATCATTGCCATCCATCTCCAGAAATTGTTCATCTTCCCAAACTGAAACTCTGTACCCATTAAACACTAACTCCCCATTCTCCTCTTGCCTTATCTTCTACCAACCACCATTCTGCTCTCTCTCTCTATGAATTTGAATATTCTAGGTACCTCATGTAAACAGAATCATACAGTTTTTGTCTTTTTGTGTCTGGCTTATTTCACTTAGCATCCATATTGTAGCATGTATCAGGATTTCCTCCCTTTTTAAGGCTAAATAATATTTTATTGTATGTATCTACTACATTTTGTTAATCTATTCATCTGTCAATAGACACTTATGTAGTTTCTGTCTTTTGGCTATTGTGAATAATGCTGCTATGAACATGGATGTGCAACAGTCTGTTCCAGTCCCTACTTTCATTCTTTTGAATTTGTTAAGTGGAATTGCTGGATTATATGGTAATTCTATGTTTATTCTTTTGAAGAACCACTATACTGTTTGCCATAGAGACTATACTGTTTTAAATTCATGCCAGCAATGTACAAGGATGTCTTCTGCCCGTTTTTAAATGGGTTGTTGTTGTTAAGTTGCAGGAGTTCTTTATGTATTCTGGATATTACTCCCTGTTCAGATACATGATTTGCAAATATTTTCTCCTATTGTATGGGTTGCCTTCTTATTCTGTCAATAGTATCCTTTGATGCACAAAAGTTTTTATTTTTGATAAAGTCAAGTTTGTCTATTTTTTGTTCCCTGTGCTTTTGTTGTTATATCCAGTAAATCTTGCCAAGTCTAATGTCATAAACCGTTTTTCCTATGTTATCTTCAAAAAGTTTTATAGATTTGGCTCTTATGTTTAGGTCTTTGATCCATTTTGAGTTAACTTCATATATAAGGGGTCCAACTTCATTTTTTGCATGTTTGATATCCAGCTTTTCCGGTACTACTTGTTGAAATGACTACCTTTCCTCATTGAATGATCTTGGCACACTCTCTGAAAATCATTTGAGTGTAAATGAAAGAGTATATTTCCAGACTCTCCATTCTATTCCATTGGTATATATGTCTGTCTTTATGTTAGTACCACACTTTTTAAACTACTGTAGATTTGTAGTAAACTTTGAAATCAGGAAATATGAGACCTCCAACTTTGCTCTTCTTTTTCAAAATTGTTTTCATTGTTTGAGTTCCTTGAGATTCCATATGAATTTTAGGATAGATTTTTCGATTTCCTTTTTTTCTGGCCTTGCCACATGGTTTGTGGGATCTTAGTTCCCTTACCAGGGATCGAATCCAGGCCCACAGCAGTGAAAGCACTGAGTCTTTAACCACTGGACTGCCAGGGAATTCCCAGGTTTTTCTATTTCTGCAAAAAACATCATTGAGATTTTGATAGTATTGCTTTGAATTTGTATATCACTTTGGGTGGTACTGACAACAATTCTAAATCTTCAATCCATGAACACAGAATGTCTTTGTATTTATTCATGTCTTTCAGCAAAATTTTGTAGTTTTCAGTGTGCAAATTTTTTGCTTCAGAGCAAATATTTTAAATTTTGATACAATCCAGTTTATTCATTTTTTTCTTTTATGGATTGTGCTTTTTTATGTCTAAAAACTAACACTAGATTTTATGAAAAAGGATTTATTCCTTTATTTTCTTCTAGCAGTTTTATAATTGTATATCTTACATTTAAGTCTATGATCCACTTTGACTTAATGTTTATATAAGATGTGAGGTTTATGTTAAGGTACACTTTTTTGCTTATGAATATCCGATTATCCAGTACTAATTGTTGAAAAGAGTATTCTTTCTCCATTTACTTGCCTTTGCATTTTTGTCAGAAATCTATTGGGTATATATTTGTCTTAATAATTAACATCATAGTTAATGGTGAAAGATTGGAATCGTTCTTCCAATACCAAGAATAAGACAAGGGTGTCCACTCTCGCCACTTCTGTTTACACTGAAATGAAATTAGAAATCAATAATAGATGGAAATCTAGGAAATTTAAAAATATGTGGAAATTATTTAACACTCTACCAAACAACCAAGGATCAAAAAGGAGTTGCAAGGGACATTAGAAAATACTTTGAGATGAATGAAAACAAAATATACCAAAACTTCAGGAATGCAGTAGAAGAGGTACTCAAAGGGCTATTTAAAGCTGTAAATGCCAGTATTAATAAATAGGAAAAACCTCAAATTTATAACCAAAACTTCCATCTCAAGAAACTACAAAAATTTGTCCAAACCCATTGGATATATGATACCAAGAGTAAATGGTAAACTATAGACTTGGAGTAATTATGATGTGTCAGTGTAGGCTCATCATTCGTAACAAATGTCCCACTCTGGTGGGAGGTAATGAGGGAGACTGAACATGTGTGGGGTCAGGGGAATAGGTGGGAAATCTCTGTAACTTCCCCTCAATTTTGCTGTGTAGCTACAGCTACTCTAAAAAAAATTGAAGTTTAATGAAAAAAGCTACAAAAAGAAGGCAAATAAACCCAAATCTAGCTTAAGGAAAGAAATAAAGATTAGCAAAAATAAATGAAAAATTAATTTAAAAAATAGAGAAAATCAAGAAAACCAAAAGTTGGCTCAATGGAAAGAGCAATAGAATTCACAGTCCTTTAGCTAGACTTACCAAGGAAAAAAGGGAGACTCAAATTTCTTGTACTCTGCTTTACTTTCTTTTTTGCATCGAGTATCTTTTTCTGTCCTTTTACTTTCAACTTTTTAAAAAACCAAAGTGTCTCTTGTAGACAGCAAATAGTTATTTAGATCATGTTTTTTTAAAATCCCTTCTTCCAATTATGTAGAGTGTTAATTTATATTTAATGCATTTAAGTGGAGTCTGTTGATAAGGTAGGTTCTACATCTGCCATTTTGCTATTTATTTTTGATGTCTGGTATCTTTTTGTTCCTCTATTACTCCATTTATTCCTTCATGTTAAATAAGCTTTTACAGTGTGTCATCTTAATTAACTTGTTGCTTCTTTTACTATTTTCATTACTCTTTTAGTAATTTGCCCTAGGGATTATAATTAACACCTTAGCTTGAACAATTTTGTTTGTATTAGTGCCAACTTAATTTTAATAATGTTCAAAAACTTCATTCTTATTTGCCTCTGTTCTGTCCTTGCTCCTTTGTACTATTATTGTCATACAAATGACATATTTCTAGATTTTAAGCCTATCAACAGAGTTTTATAATTATTGCTCTATGTGGTTATCTTTTATCTTTTAAGACAGATGGAACACCAACAACAAAAGTGTACAGGGATCAAAGTGTTTATACTGTTTTTAATGTTTACCTATGTAGTCAACTTCACTAGTGTCCTTTCTTTGGGTAAATTTGAGTTACTATTTAGTGTCTATTTATTTCAGTCTAAAAGACTCCCTATAGTTTTTCTTATAGGGCAGATTATCTTGTAGTGAACTCTATTTATCTTGGGATGTTTTAATTTCTCCTTTAGTTTTACATTATAGTTTTTTGCTGGACATTGAATTTTTGGTTGGCAATCTTCTTCTTTTAGCAGATCAAATGTATCATCTCAACTGCCTTTTGGCCCCTTGTAAT